TGAATTCTGGTACCCATAGGGTGGGATATACCCCCACACTGATACTTACACACAGGATGCATAAATAGAATGTAAATAAAAGTTAAAACATTCTCAAAATAGAAATTTGAAGGGAAGCTTGCATTTAGTAGTAAGCATGGTGTTTTGTTGATAAAGGGAAATAATGTAATTTTCCATTTCAAAGGCCGGAGTGGTAGAGAGCTCTTGCCTGGCATGTGCGAAGCCCTCAGCTTCGTCTCAGGCACTGGAAGAGAAAAAGCCTCCAAGTCAATCCCTCAGGTGAGAAGAGAAGCTGACGGCCTGGCTTTCTGGAATGCTCTGCAGCTGGGACAAGGAGTTATGGTCCGAGAGGCAGCTTGTCAAGGCGGTGTATTTTCCCAGCACACATCACACATCGGCTGCCATCTGCTTTACTCTATCTTTCCGGCTACTTCTGCAGCCTGAGAACAGACAGGCCATTGCCAGGGCTTGGGCAGTCAAGAAGTTGAAAGGCAAGATATGGGAGGGCCCTGCTCACAAATCAAGTCAGTGGCTTCCTTGGGCAGTCCCATTGTGCCTGCCAGTGTGCACACTTGTGTGTGTGTGTGTGTGTGTGTGTGTGTGTGAGATGGAAGTTCCTTTCTAGTGCAGTTAAATGAGGGTTTTTCTTTCCCCCTCCAGTGTTTAAAATAAACAGATCTTGCAAGCCAGTTGCCAAGATCGGTCAATACCATATGCAAATAAATAAGTGCTAATTGCCTGCAGTGTCTTTGGGTGTCAGGTGCGGTTACTGGACCACATTTATGGGCCAATTAGGCGCCTTACCGGACTTTAGTGGTGATAAATTGTGGCTTAGCGGCTGCTTGGAACGTGCTGGAGACGGGGCTGAGTGTAACTCTTTCCACTCTTGTCGGACCAGAGTGTAAAGCTTTCGCCTAGGGCAGCTGTGCAGATCTGTGAGGCCACAGGGCACACCAGACAGGGCAGGCGGGGTGGGGTGGGGGGACTGGGACCCTGTGGGGATGGGTAGGTGAGACCCGAGAGTCTTGTATATCAACAATGGTATTTTGGCGCTGGGGGCTTCTTCTGGTTGAAGCTGGGCGGAAGTGCTGAAGGTCACTGGGGTAGGAGGGTAGCGAGAATGGCAGGAGAACACTCCTGGATGTAGGGCAGAAGGCTCATGCCATCATCTTGAAGGGCCGCCTCCAGCCCTGCCACAGCCGCACTGAAGGTCTGTTTCCCGACATGATTGCCCATGGAGGTGTTTCTGTAACTGGCCACTCACCACGCACGTGTTGCAAAGAAGGCAGAGGCCATGTCTGGTCTCATTCCTACTCCCATTTGTTGGAAACACAGGCTGGGCCCTGGCTCCCAGGATGCCCCTGATAGACTGGCTTCTTGGAGCTGACAGGGGATGCCACAGAAGACTTGAGACCTTGTGAGGGTCTTCAGTAGCAGCTCTAGAACTCCGGGGAGGTCAGGGCACTAAATGTGACCTTTGAGGAAGAGTCATTTTATCTGTGACCCCCTAAAGTTAAGGGACTGGCCAGCAACAGTGGGGTCTTCCAGGGTAAGGAAAATGTTGACAAAGGATCCTGAGTTACAGAGACAGGGTGCGTGAGGGCGCGTCACAGTGACAGCCCAGCATGGGAGCAGGTAGGTGGAGCTTGCAATGTTAAGACTTGGATAGAACCCTCAGAATAACAGGGAGCCATGAAGGAGTTCCAAATGAGCAGAAACCAGATCAGGGGCTCAGGACAAGGGGTACTGGCTACAGAGAAACGGCTGTGAGGGACAAGGATGGGCCAGGGCAGAGGATTCAGAACCAGCCTGGGGCCTGTGGGAGACCAGGAGTGGGAGTAGGGAATTAAGTCCATGCACTTGGATCCAGGTCCAGGGATTAAGGAGGTCACAGGCAGGCCCACGGGGCCTGGAGGGTTCTGCCCACATGGTGAGGCTGCAGCAGAAGCCAGATGAAGCCACAGCCCTTGGGGCTCTCTGGTAAGCTTTGCCCCTCACCTTAATGCCTCCTAATTCCTAATCAATTTGTTTCTGTAACAAAGGAGTTTATTAATCAATTAGCCAATTGGTTCACCAACCTCAGCATGAGTGAACAATATATTATTAATAGTCCAACCTGTTTTCCTCATTGCCGCGGAGAAGGCAGGGCTTTGGCCTATACCTCTCTGAAACTCTTTCAGTGCCCAAATTTGGGGAGAAGGATAAAGGAAGGAACTCGGATCTCTCAGAGCTCCGTTAGCATTCTGAATCTCTAATACATTTAACAATGGTTTATAGAGGGCAGTCTTAAACATACCCTGCACCCTGGGTTTTACTTAGAGCACTCCCTCGGGTGACAAACGCATACGGGAGACAGGCTCACATGTAGCTTGGGTTGGCTTCAAGCTTGATATGTGGCTTAAGATGACCCCGAACTTCACATCTTTCCTCCAACTCTGTAGTACTTGGAATGAAAGGAACTCAACACTTAAATCAAACCCGGGGCCTCACGCATGCTAAGCAAGCATTCTCCCAACTAGGCGACATCTTCAGCCCCAAGCTCTCTAATCTAGTAAACTGTGTGTGTGTGTGTGTGTGTGTGTGTGTGTGTGTGTGTGTGTGTGGTGGCACTGGGATTGAATCCAGGGTCTCCTGTTCACACTAGGCAAGTACTCTACATCTACACTCCAGGCTCCCAGGCCCCAGCCAACAGCGTCATCATCACCGCTCCCTGTACCTGTTGGCCTGAGAGGTTTTGTTTGTTTGTTTGTTTGTTTCCAGTTTTGTTGTATAGAGCACAGGGATGGGCATCTCACGTGCTGATGTCAGAGGTCCCCTCTCCTAGGATTCTTACGTGGTAGATTTGCTCACTCTTCTGCATGCTGTCATCTGGTTCCATCTACAGTTGAGGGAAGAGCTGGGCGCTCTCACTCTCTCCACAGTCAGCACTGAGTGCCCACGCTGAAAACCTTGGAGGGCTGGTGGCTGGTGGACCAGGGTGATGGCTCAGTGGGTAAAAGCATTTGCTATGTAAGCCGGATACCAGGAACTCATGTAAACCGATGGAGGTGGTGGCCTGCCTCTGTAGGGCCGGCTCCTGCTGTAAGACAGGAGACAGAGAAAGGGCCATCGCTCTGTAGCTCTCAGCTAGCCTGGAGCAGGTCTCTGTGCACTAGGGGCAAGAAACAAGAGAGACCCTGCCTCAGCAAGGTGGATGGAGAGAGCGACCTCCTCCAAGTTATCCTTCAGTATTTGCACACACCCTATGGAACACGGGTCTGAACATACGGACAGACTGGGCTGTGACTCAGTAGTCGAGCGCTTGCCCAACATGTGTAAGGCTCGGGATCTGATCCCTAGAAAACAAGAAACAGGATCTAAACACGGAGTTTTGTTCCCGAGTGTGCTTCCCAGGGCACTGTCCTGGCAAAGGGGTTCAGAGCCCTCTTCTGGGGGTCCTGGAGAAGCTGAGTCCTCCTGGGAAGGAGACCTCTCTGAGGCGGCCCTACAATTATGGAGATGGTGGGGACAGACAGGTGGAAGGAGAGCTGGTGTCGGCTCTCACGGCTTCTCTGGAAGTGTTCTGTTCTGACCGCAGGAGTGTATGCATGCTGCCTGAAAATGGGACGGCAGAGACCATGGGCTGTGGCTTCCCTCACTCTCAACAGACGGCCAACCGCACACTCTGCACACTCCAGCCCTCTGTGTGGGCCTGAGTGACCAGTGACGTAATCAGAGCCACAAGGGATTTTCTTCCTTTTTTAAAAATATTTATTATGTATACAATATTCTGTCTGTGTGTATGTCTGCAGGCCAGAAGAGGGCACCAGACCTCATTACAGATGGTTGTGAGCCACCATGTGGTTGCTGGGAATTGAACTCAGGACCTTTGGAAGAGCAGGCAATGCTCTTAACCACTGAGCCCAGCCCCGAGGGATTATTTTCATTGTGACCCCCGCCCCTCGTCATCCTTCCATCTGGAGTGCATTCTGAAAACTGCATTCTAGACACTGGGGGTCACAGTACCAAATGTTTGGGGGTCCAGGCTGTTTATCCATGTTGCTTTGTAAATCTCGCACGGAAGAAAAACCCAGTGTATTGGAGCACCCCCTAGAAGCTTCTTTAACAGTCTCTATCTTCCAGAGGGCATGCTGCCTGGGTGTGTGGCCACTTGAGCTGAGTGACAAGCTGCCCTAGGTGTGGAGTCTCCACGTGGCACCCTGCGCGCTGCAGGCAATTAAACTGTGCCATGGGAAAGGGTCCAAAGGCAGGATTCTCACAGAAGCACCCATGGGTATTTCTTACTGGAACACTGCTGAGGGCTGGGGTGGGTGTGTCTGGGGTGGGTATGTCGGGGTGGGTGTGTATGCTGTGGGTGTTTCCAGGGTGGGTGTGTCCAGGGTGGGTGTGTCCAGGGTGGGTGTATATGCTGTGGTATGTCAGGGTAGGTGTGTCCAGGGTAGGTGTGTATACTGTGGGTGTATCTGGGGTGATTGTATGCGGTGGGTGTGTCTGGGGTGGGTGTGTATACATATGCAGTGGGTATGTCCGGGGTGGGTGTGTATGCTGTGGGTGTATCTGGAATGTATATGCAGTGGGTGTGTCCAGGTGGGTGTTACCTCCTTTTGTAATATGGGAGTGACTGCATAATGCATTTTGTGTGAGAAAGCTGTACTAATACTTTTGACAGTCGGCACACTGATAGTGCACGTCTGAGCGAGACCCATCTTCTAGCTGCTTCTTCCCTGTCAGTCATGTAGGGAAGGTGGGCAGGGCAACAGTGAGACACAAAGCATCGGGCTTCCCACCCCTGTGATTGGAGCCACGGAGGAGGCACCTGTCCAGCTTCCTGGGTCTCTGGCTGCAGGCTGAGGGGTTGGTTCCCTCACACATGGTGGCCTGTCTCCAGGACAAGCTTCCCCAGAGCAGTCGAGGCCCCTCGTCTGATTTCCCTTCCTGGGAGTGGGGAAAACCAACTGTGACATACTGCTACCAAGAAGACACACAACAGAAGCGGTACATACATATTTTCATTTCTTTATTAGAAAGAGGTCTCTACACTATAGCCACCTCTCTCTGTTACTTTACACGCTTTTCCTTTCCTTTCCCCCTCAGAATACTGTACACCGGACACAAAATCCCAAGGCAGGAAAATACAAATCAGCATATTTAACCTGAACAAGGTCGCAGGAACGAACAAGCAAAGCGAAATGTCTGTGGATGGTTTAATTACAGGACAAACAAGCATAAATAAAGCATCAGTCACTGGGAAACATAAAGTTATGGAATGAGGTAATATCAAAATGCCCCGGGCAGACACCCACCTCTGGAGAAGCGCCCACTGTGCTTCTATGTAGCCTTCTTTGCCCCCACCCAGAAACGTGCCAGAGGTGCCTGCCTTGCCCTGGGTTTTCTCTTTGCAAAGAAGCTCCTGTGGCAAGATGGGGACTCAGGGTGGACTCGGAGAAAGGATGGGAAGAGGGCGAGAGAGGATGCTGGGAGCTCTGTCCTCTGCCGTTGTAAGAGGCCAGCCACCTTCTGTGCCTTCCTGGAGCTCAGTTCTCAAGGCTCAGGGCTGGAGGGCCAGTTCTCATCTTGAGAACTGATAGGTTTTAGAAGAACATTACCACCGCCCCCTCAAAATCAAACACAAAAAGTCCCACAGTGTGGGGAGGGAAAAGGATGTTTTTACATATAAGAGAAGGGTTATTTTCAACAGGGAGGTGCAGCTGTCTTTCCCTTCTGGTCACAGGGACGTTTCAAAGGTATCTTTTGCCTGTCCATCACACAGTAGCCTGGTCTCCACTCAACTGCCCTGGGTATCCTCAGTACCCCCCTGGTAAGAAAACTGCAGGACCTGGTAGGTGAGCAATGTGCACATGAGAGAAAGAACCAGAAGCCACATTTGGACTGCACAGCATCCTCGGTCCCTTCTCTGCCCATCCTGATGAGCCAGGTGGGTCAGGCATTTTGGGAGCCCTTAGCTGTGGATAAGAGGGCTGTTGACAATTCTGTTTTGGGCCACATAGGTCTCTGTACTCAGTGCCCTCTGTGAGTCCACAAGACCCACTAGCACTTTGCTAAGTCTGTCTTTTTGCAAGCAGTTGAAAGCCCTCTCTAACATCCAGACGTTAGCATGGGCTAGTGTGGATGCAGTCCTGCACCTGGACACTGGGGTACAAAGTGATCTTAGGGTTGTTCCTAGCAGCAGTGTGTCACGGGGCTCTCCTCTGGGCCTAATCCCGCCCCCTACCCATTTACACCTCTTGGTTCCTTCATTTCACCCGAAACAAGACGAAAGCTAAGTGATTCCCTGAACACAGAATTCCAGATCAGTTCTCCCTTATGGCGGGAGAGTCCATCATATGGCTTGATTCATGACCCCCGGGGGGTCCCCTGCAGATGCCATGTGCCCAGCAGAACAAAGACGAGCCCTGAGCTGACTTCTCTCCTGCTCACCAAGGCCACTAGCTTGGACCCTAGCGCGGCTGCCAGTGCCGGATGCCCACACTCACCTGAGGCTCACTACGGGAGAGACCTCAGGGAAGAATGCTTTGACCAGACAGGAGCAAACCCCAAACTAAATACTGCTCTTCTATAGGAAAACTGGCCTCTTGACACGAGGGACAGGTGGCCGGCTATTCCATGGACCCTCACTGCACACTGCCTTGGGCAAGGGGTCACCGGGCTGGTGGCCTGGAAACACGCCTGACCTGGGTTTGCTAAAATTGAAGGATGCAAAGCTTTGTGGGCTGTCTAGAGTCAGCTACGGTGAAATGGTGAAATGTTCTCTCTTCAACTTGGACCCAGGTGCAAACCGCTGTTTAAAGAGCAGCAGGCACAGAGAGACTAAACAGAAATCTTAGCATTCAAAAAAGCATGGGCCAAAGCTCCCGAGCAGCAAGAGACTTTGTGTCTTGAAACACTAAGGCCCCAGGTGGTCAGCGGTTTCTTTCCCCCGTGAAGAGAGATGAGCCCTGCCTTCTGGCGCTGGCTTCTCTGAGCTGAGGTGGCTGCCTGCTTCTTGGTTCTAGGGTGGGACTAAGCCTGAGAGCTAGCGCTGCCTGGATGTGGCCTCAGCAGAGAGTGGCTGGACCTCTCCCTCTCTCACCTCTCAAGGAGGAATGTTAAATTTTGGCTAAAAACCCATCTACCTCAGTGGCTTTTAAGGCCCCCAAACAGGCCAGGCACAGAGAGCTGGGTCACGTGGGTCTCCTGGTCCTGCTGTGTGGTAGCCAGGCCTGGCAGAGGTGGGGCCATTTAGAATCCAGAGACACATACAGTGGAGGAGGCTGCACGCTGGTGAGACACCCATGGTCTCCAACAGCTTTCTAGAGAGTGACAAGAGCGGAATCACCTCCAACTGTGCCTTCACAACAGGAGCAGGGTGGGGGGGGGGACTCTATAGATGCTCAAATTCCTTCCTGACTGCCTTTCAATTTGTTTGCTTCAAAGTCAAAATACAACCCTGGCAGAGGTCTAGAAAAACCTCAAGGACCTTGCAGGGTGTGACCGACGGAGACAGCCGAGCTGAGGCCCACCAAAAGGCCTGGGCTTGCTTCTGAACCTCTGCCTCCTGGTAGCTTGGAGGCCCTGATCACATGTCTCCTAGCCGTACTGTTGTGGGCCGTGTCCCCAGGAGGGATAGAGAGTGCCCATCTCAGCCGTAAAACAGCCTGAGTTCAGGGAAGGATGGTGGCAACCTTGGCAACTAAGAGGACAACTCAGGCTTAGGGCCGGCAGGTCCCTGGTTCACCAGGGTCAGTCACAAACCCACCAACTGCGGGTCTTGACTGATGGAGGATGCCACAAAGTGCTCCGAGCAAGCTCTTCTGGGGATTATTGGGCAGTGAAGCCCAAGGCCTGAGGTGCTAGGATCCTCAGAGTTAACGAGAACGGGGCACTGATGGTGTGTGTGTCCCAGCAGCCTCATGGGAACTGCAGGGAGGAGAGGCGAGGAGCCACCGCACAGGTACAAGGCTGGAGGAGAGAGCCTCACCTTCAGCTTGAGTGACAGTCCAGTGGGGAGGATAAGGAGGGCTTCAGTTCCCACCCCGACACTGTGCACAGGCCTGGGGAACGGCATTAGGGGTTCAGCAGGGGTAGCCACAGGCTAGACTGCCCCCGGGACAGTTGATGGACAACTCATAGGTCAGTCTGTTGCTGGGCCTAGCTGGCTACTTCTCAACAAGAGGAAATTCACCCTGAACACAAAGGTTGCACAGACTTGCCGTGGGCTCCTCACATCTGCCACTTTGAAGGCCCTGGCTCCTGGTGGACGGGGGTCTCAGCTCTGACGCTGCGTTCTAAAACGAGAACTCACATACTCCTTCCCCCTCCCCCTGCTTCTCTGGTCCACTGTACCACTACCTTATTCTGACATGCTCCTTAAAAAAGTGATTCGCATTCAATGAAGTGCCTAGTGTGGGGGAGCTTTCCATAACCCCAGCTCCCTTCCCCACACCCCTGCTCCTGGTTTCACGCAGCCTTGGTGGCCGGCTTGAAAATGGGAAAAAGAAGGCTGTCGCTGAGGGGAGGCCCTGGGTCTGAAGGTGAACTATAGGCTTCTCTCCTCCATCTGCAGAGAACCCTGGAGGCTCCACTACCACCATTCTAGCTGTGGTCAGAACTCAGGCTTGGGAAAAGGGGGCTGCCCCTTGGACAGTTCAGCACAGCTAAAACTGGCAGGGGAGGGGCCGTGTGTTCTGAGGAAGACCTGATGATGTCAGAGTGACCAAGGGAGGGAGGGAGGGGGAGGGGCAACCAGAGCAAGCAACTGAGCATTCGGACAGTGGAGGGTGAGGTGAAACAAGGAATCAGTCGGGAAAATATCATATTATAAACATAATAATATGTACACACTCATATACACCCCGAAGAGAAGCCTCAGGAAGGACTCCATTTCCCTTCTGAAGCAGGCTCCCCTATGATAAAAGCGCTCCTATAGTGGGAATTAACTACAATGAAATAATTTAAGACTCTCATTTATACTCTATCTGTGTTCTCTATAGAAGTCTATGGTAAAGGCTACGTGGAGGCGAATGCGGATTGCAGGGTTGGGCGCTAATGCATTCTTCAAAAATAGGCAATGACAGCTTGCTTTCTCTATTCACATTGAAAGAAACGACACAGTGATGAGGAGCAGGATGAAAACCCAAATACAGGGCTCGTGGAGCTGAGCTCAGGATCTCAGGCCTCTGGCTTTCGCACCTGTGACGCTTTTGGATCCTGGTCAGTCCCAGCTGCGCTGAAACTGGCGCTCTCCACGAGACACTTACCCACACAGAAATGCTGTCTAAAGCTTTACTTTTGTTCCCATCTACTTTAAATTTTTTTTTAAAAAGTGAAAGAAGAGGAAAAACTCTTACAAAATATAAAGTTCAATATATGAGAGCAAGGAGCTTCTTCACAGGATGCCAGGCGGTGGCTTTGCCCAGTCTTCCAGTGTGATGGCCTTCTTCCTGCCACACTGTCACAAGGGCTCTCTGGCAAGGCTGCCTCTCATTTTTTTTTTTTTTAAACTAAATAGTGTCACGGTTTGGTGTTCTTGACCACCGTGCTGAAGGTGGCTGGTGTCTGATGCACCCTGTGGCCCACGATGGCAAATCAGTCATCACGTTAGGAACAGACGGGATGGAGCACACAGAGTCAGCAGGCTCTTAGGAGCCAGCTGTGCCAGAATGGTGGGCAGCTGCTCACAGGGTGCCTACAATCACCCCTTCTTGCCACAGCCCCTCGCTTTTGGTTGGGAAGAGTGGCCTCGGCTCTCCATCCTGCCTTCGGGATGTGGACTCACAGGCTCCTTCCCACTTGTCTGCTTCTCTCCTTCCCGTCCCCCTTTGCTTCCTGGTTTTACTAAGCAAATCGTCCTACCATATTGTTCTGATAAGCACCTTTAAAAAAGCTGCTTACCACATTCATGGAGGTGCTTGCTGCTGGGAGCACTTCCCATGTACACTGATCTGTAACCCTCTGATCTCAACTAGTTGCACATTATTGGTTCCCATCCAGTTCAACTTATAAATTAACAGAGGTGCCATTTGTCTGCACAAAAATCAATGCATATTTATGAACTCCTTTTATTCAAATAGATTTTCACACATCTTCTCTACGACAGAAACCTTGGTAACTCAGACCTTGTGGACTGGGAGTGACTGAGGCCAGATACATCCACTGTGGCCAAAGGACAGAAAATCTCTCTTAGAAAAAAAAACATAGCATTTTACGTATTTACTGAGTTTTGGAGCATACTTGAAAAGCCATTTTCAGCTGGATTCATGATTTCTTTTTGAATTTCCCAGTTATTCTTATTTTTTTATTTATTTATTTTCCATTTTGTTTTTGCACCAAGGAAGGAGATTGCCGTCAAATAATACCCAGCAACTGATTTCCTCTCTTTGGACTGAAAAATTAAACAGATACTAAATTATGACAGTGAATTTAGAAAGGAGGGCTCCGAGGGCTGGAGAGACGTCTGGGATAATACGATGCTTCTAAGCGCACAGCAATCACATCGTGGCAATCACCGGAGCGTGCCGCGTAACTACCTCCTCGGCTAATACGCCTTCTTCCCGGTGATGACTAATCACGTCCTATTAAACAGCGGTAATGCTGGAGGAACTCGACTATACAAGCGTAATGAAGCCAGTATTCTCCCTGGACAGATTAGCTCCAACTGATTTGACACCTACCATCATAGGGGCTTCAGACCTGACAAACTGTGCTGGCTTCTGATTTATGCCGTCAAGCTCCCCAGAGAAGATGTGAAATCCAAGCCTCCTTTTGGTCGAGGTGAAATGTTCTGATGTGCTTAACTGCCAGTTAGGGGAAGCTGCCCCTTCTCCTTGCTACCCCTCCCCCGGGTTCCAGGTCAGTGGAACAGGGGTCCCTCGTCGTGTGCTATCCTCAAAGTCGGGAGGTTGTCAGTCCCTCCTGCATTGCTTCCGGAGTGTGGGAAAAGGGTTCGGTTCTGTGGCCTCCATCCTCCTCTTTTCCCCTTGAGGATGTCCAGGTTTGGAGACTTCATGTGGGGTGTGTGAGTGGCAGGTGGGAGGAAGTGACCACCAGGAAGAGGGAGGGACTGAGGAACTCACATGCTGTGACTTTCCCAGGAGCAGCGTTGGCTGAGCTCAGATGATGCTGGGCGCCCTCCCGCTACTGTTGTTCCTGCTGTTGTTCTTCCTGGACAGGTTGGGGGTAGCCATGAGCACAAAGCGCTCATCGGGGCAGCCATACTGTAGCAGCACGTCAATGCACTCCTGGCTGGAGGCCTGCCGGGCATAGGCCAGTGCTGTGTTCCCGTGGGCGTCTCGAGCCATGACGTCCACCCCGTACTGTAGAGGCAACAGAGAACAAGTTAGTGTCCGTGGGGATCTGAAGGCAGGCAGGGGTAGGTCACACCGTCAGCTTCGACATGTGGATTGAGCTGCGATGGAGACACCTGGGACTGAGAGGAACCGAAAACCCAATGTCCACATGTTTAGATCAGGATCTGTATCTGCCCTGTTAGGGGAAGCACCCCACCCCCTATTTATATCACACAAATAGGGCAAAGAGGCTTTAACCTTGCTCTTCGTTTTACCTTTTCAGATGTATATACATGGGCAAGGGCAGAAGAATGGCTCAGGGGGTAAAAGTCCTTGTCAAGACTGAGATCTGAGTTTGATCCACAGAACTTACATTGTTGAGAGAGAATCAACTTCTGCAAGGTACCCTCTGCTCTCTGCAGGACTGCTGTGTCACATGTGTATATGTGTGTGTGTGCGCGCACACGCATGTACACGCACACACTAAAAATAAATATATTTTTAAAAAGTAACATTTAAAAAGATCTCAGAGGCATCTCAGTTTCACTACAGAAAACACGTAAGAGACACAGGTGAGCACAAGAGAGGAAAATTACTGCCAATAGTTTGTTATTCTTTATGTGTGCTCCCCGTTCTTTAGTACTGGAGGTGGGGTTCAGGGCTTGGCACATGCTAACTGAGAATATACCACTAAGCTATACTCTCAGCCCTTTCTAATCATTTGTGCTTTTTTCTCTTACTGAACTGGACTTTGAACATCTTCCTACACTATCAAAACTTACTTCCAAGTGTGACTCCTAATAGCTACGTAACACTGAAATACACGAGCCTAATTCAGTTACTCCGTCCTCGGCTATAGCACATTTTGTTCCAACGCTGTCAATGGCAAAGCTAGTGAGGAGAGGTTTATCTTTGCCAAGTCTTTCTCAGTAGCCCAGGGAAGCCCTGAAGATTAGCCTAGCTAGTTCACTTAGCCATCTACGAAACTGCATGGAGACTTAAGAGCGGAGCGCAGCGCTGCAGTCTTGCCTAGAGTTCACAGAGCTGTGGGTTCTGTCCCCAGTCTGCAAAAATAAAATAACAGGCTGCAGAGATGGCGTGATGGTTAAGAGTCACTGCTCTCGTAGGGGACCCGAGTTGAATTCCTGGTACCCGTACTGGGTGGTTCACAACTGTAACTCAAGCTCCAGGGAATCTGGTACCCATTTTTGGCCCCTATAGGTGCCTGGACACACCTAAAAATAAAATAAAGTCACTGCTGAAGGGATGGTTCAGCAGTTAAGTGCATCTACTGCTATTCCGGAGGGTGTGAATTTGGATCCTCGCACCCAGACTGGATGGCTCACTTCCATCTGTAACTGCAGCTCCAGGGAATTTGACACCCATTTCTGGCCCTCAGGGGCACTGGCAGATACCTACGTATATACACGTGAATTAAAATAAATAAATAAATAAATCTTTAAAAAGTTAAAAAGCAACAACTCAAAACAGCATACGCACACACACAAACTTAAGTTTTTTGCTCATGATAAGGGTAGGTTCACATATGTTCACGTAACTCAGTGTACGGCGGGGGTTCTGACACGCAAGGAACATGTAACACTGCAATCAAGAGCTTCTGGACAACGTGAGAAGGAAATGTGTGCAGGTGGGTTACGCCCCCCAAATAACCAAACTTAAGTCTTAAAGAGTCGCCAGTACTTTAGACTGGGGCTCCATCTGCTGAGCTGAGAAGTCTGGTGTCCTGAAGGAACGAGACACCAGGATGCATGCTTACACAAGAGACCAACCACATGGGGCCACAGCAAGGTCCTAGCTACTGGTTAAGGAGCAAAGCCTTGTGGGAAAGAAGCCCTTCGGGAGTTCTGAAGTCTGTCTGTAGCTTCCAGGGCTGTGACAGCACAGTATCTGTGCTCTGCAGTTTTGCTATCCCAGTCCACGCACACCAAACACAACTGCCATTTAATGAGCAGCGAAGGCGAGGACAGATACTGAATTACCCTAACTTAGTACCTGCATCTTCTCATTCTCCCATTGTACTCCAAAATGTGGATTAAAAACAGGAAAAAACTGGGGTAAGATATCTCAGTCAGTAAAATAGCTAATCTCAAATTTAGAGAACTTGTGCACGATCCCTTAAACTATATTGAAAACAAAAAACTGAGTGTGGTGGTGCAAGCTTGTAATCCTGGTCCCTGGGGAGGTGGAGCAGTGGACTCTGGGGCGTGCTGGCCAGCCTTGTCTACTTGGCCAGGTTAGGGCAATGAGACAGATAACCTTGATAATTTTTGAATCCCTGGTTAATGGGAATCCATCGTCACCAATGTATCAAACCAATCAAGCACAATTAATAAAGTCAGATTTAATCTGAGCAAAGCACTCCTGGGTTTGAGGAGGGTGTGAGAGGAATCCCACAGCAAATGTGGCTACCAGGTCTTAAGCAGCCTTAGGCATGATCTTGGGCGGCCCAAGGGAGGGGCTGACTTTTGGAGGGCTTTCTTTGGAGTGGAGTTTGAAGAGGGCAGCTCTAGGGAAGGGGCCACCACTCGGCGCACTGAGGGTGGGGTTTGGAGAGGCCAGCCCCAGGGGAGATGCTGCTTGGGGCTCTGAGGGCAGTTTCTGGAATGGGGCTCTGAGCTGGATATTCAAACAAACCTGTCTCAACAAATGAACAGCAACAAAAATACCTGAAGTGGACAATGCATGAAGAACACTTGAGGTGCTCTCCTGGTGTGTACACTCACATGTGCTCGCCCCCCCCCCCCCCGCGGGCGGTCGCTCTCACACACACACGTAGACACACACTCGCTTTCAGCTGTGTTCGATCTCCATCACCAGAATGGAGGCAGAGGAGAGGCCCCAGGGTCTGAGTGGCAGATGTCCCTAAGAGGTGTTTAGGAAGCTGCCTGGGGACATGACACTAGAGCATCTCAGCCCAGCACACACAGGCAGGACAGGCAGGGCCTCTCTCTACAACCATGTTACACAGTTTCAGTTTCTTAAAAAGTTCAAATTCAAATTTAAGTGAATTAAAATTTTGTTTTTCCTGAGAAGAAAGTCATTAAAGCAGTACAAGAGAGGCTTGGTGACAGCTCCCACATCTCAGACCTCGGTGCCTAGGGCAGTACCTTCACTCTCTCATAACAGAGAGTAAAAATTCCAAGGTTTGGCAAAGGGCCGCCTAGAAGCCATTCAAGTTATTCATGCCCCTGCCCTTGCCTGCAAGATGATGACACTGAGAAACAAGTCCTGTATCTCTCCCTGCAGAATGCGTGACCCGAGGGGCCACCAGAAAGACACTTCAGAAATGAGCAATGAGCAAACGAGCCTGTTTCATTTCTGCTCTGCACTCAGCTTCCCCTGCTGTTCTATGCCCTCCTGCAGGTAAGTCCAGATGTAAGGCTCCAATCCTACGAGGGTCAGCTCTCAGGCACGGCAGCCTTGTACAGGAAGGAGATGCCAACAGCACAATGCATTCTGACCCCACAGTGGCTCCACCCTCTGTTGGGCAAGGGGTGGGCACCCAAATCACCTACCCAGATTAGCAGCTGAGCCAGGACCACGTTGCCCTTGCGGCAGGCCAGGTGCAATGCTGTGCGTCCATCTCCTTCCCCACAGGTCTCATTCACCTCATCCCGGGACCCATGTGCCAGGAGCAGGATGACGGTCCGCAGGTCTTCCTCGGCGGTGGCACGCAACAGTTGCTGGCCCAAGGAGAACTCTGTACATGGCAGTGGGGCCAGGAAGAGTTTCTGTTCATACTTGGCCCGGATCCATCGCTCCTTTTCTTCCCTACAAGAGTCAGAAGATAGGCACACTCAGGACTGGGCATTAGGACAGAGAGGCTGGAACCCCCGCTCTGGCAGCCACCATGGTTAGGAAGCCCGGGAAGGGAACAGGAAAGTCTCCTTTTGGGATAAGGCCCCCTTGGGGAAACCTCTATTCATGGTTTCTAGAAGTGGTATCCTTGCTGCCTGCAGCGTTCCCTACGGTTCCAGAGTCAGAACCTCTGGGGTTCTGGGCTCCTGTAACTTCTGAGATGAAACAACAGCCTACCCACTGCTCATGGCCTGGGGGCCTGCATCAGTGCAATGAAAACAGAGACTCCATAGTTCAAAGGCTTGGGCTTTCTTTGAGCAAGAAAAGAAGAGGACTTCCCCACCCTCAGCAAGACTTGCTTATGCTGACCTAAAAGAAAGGTGAGCTGCTCCTATGCACTAAGGCTGGCAAGTGACCAGAGACAGAGGTGGGGCAGCAGAGGCATCATCTGAGGGGACTGGTGCCCTCTGCCTTAACTCACCCACTCTCCCAGATGGGGACGTGTGAGTCCCCAAGGGTCTCCCGCTCTTCTGACAAAGGGAGCACTGAAGGTTCACACAGGAATATGTCATCTCTTTGGAGACTTGTGGAAGGCTTAAGGAGAGGGGGCAGAATGCTGATTTCCGGGGAAAAGTGTTCCAGGGCCCAACTTCAGGGAGAAAAGGTGGGCAGCCTCTAAGACTGGAGCACAGCTAGGGACAGAGGGCAGGGTGAAACTGGAAGGCTCTGCAGGGTGGCCAGCAGTGATAATGTGACGGGCACCATGGTGCCTGGTCCCCAGCTTCTAGCACAGCCGGGGTCTAGGAGGTTCAGGGACACGGCTCCCACTCCCAGGGTCTATCATTTGGGAGCACTGCAGAGTTGAGGAGGAGGGGCAGGGTGAAGGAGAAAAGGAGGAAAGCAAACCTCCTAGGAGGCGGTGTTTACATTGATCAAGGCAAGCTTGTTGGGCATGGTGGTGCAAGCCTTTCACCCCAGCACTTGGGAGGCAGAGGCAGGTGGGTCTGTGAGTTCCAGGTCAGTCATGGGTACACAGTGAGAGGCTCTCGTGTGCTGCCTTTATGCTCTGGGATAGCAAGGTTAGACATTGCTGGCTTCTCCAAAACAAAACAACAGAGAGGAAGGATGAGACATTGAACTCCACAGTCCTCCTGACTGAGCTCATTGCTAGGAAAAGGGGCGGTGTATGTGCACATTTGCATGTGTGTGTGTGTGTGCACGCGCGCACGTGCACACGTGTTTAGAGAGGATCTACTATTTCATGAGTAGCCTTTAGAATTTTCCCAGCAGCCTGCAGTGTGTTCCTGAGGACCGAGCTCAGCTCTTTCAGGAGGATGATGAAGAGAGCCAGCAAACCCCACACACAGAGACTAATTATCTCAGACTCAGTAAGACACTGACTCACAATGACTCCTAAAACCCAGAGCCTCTCCCTGCAATAATCAGAGCACACAGCTAGCAGCCGCATGAAGGAATCAAGCGCCTTCCCCCAACCCTCCAGAAAGAAAACTCATTACATTTCTGCTTCCGAGACCCAGAAGAAAGGCCTGTTTACACCTCTGCACAGTGTTTACACTGCGCCTGGTGACCTAGTGTCAGGTTAGCCCTAATCTGTTTTTAAATACTTAGGCAAACAGATCCTTCCAGGAGTAAATCTGGATTAGTTTTGCTTCACTTCCTGGTACATGTGAGTGACCCCCAAGTGACCCCTGACTCTTCATTCAGAGATTTCCAGGACAAACACTTGGCTTCAGCTGAGATAAACTGGCTCCCAGAACTGCAGCAAAGCCCTTACACACACACCCTTTACTTAGGTAGAAAGGTGGGGGACATCTAGGAAATGCAAGACCTAAACCCCAGAGGTCCTGATTCTATTTTAAGAGCTTGTTTATAATATGTTACACGTTTGTTGATGTAGTTCATAAATCAGAAAGGAGAAAGAGCAAGACGTGAATTAAATGAGAAGGGCTAATGGTGTAGGAGACGTCCAGACCTCCAATTTCCAATCTGCTAACTCTCATTTTTGGGTAGGCATTAAAATCAGACTGTCTTATTCTGCTCCAGCTGGTTTTAAAAGTCATTGCCAGATCATTCAGGGGTAACGGGGGAACTTCACATCAGAACTCTGGTCTTAACTGCAATGATTAAAATTTCACTTTAATATTCAAATACCCAGCCAAAGACTGAGCACAGATCCCTGCCTCCACCAAGGGCAAGCCCTAGACCTGCTCGTGGTGTAGCTTTTAGCGCTGGATGGAAATGGCTCTTTACTGGATTTTCGTACACTTTTAAAACATAGAACCCTGTGATGCCGACTGCTGGGTCCTCTGGCCTTCGAACTCACTAGATCTTCATGGTTACATCAGATCTCACATTTTTAAGCTAAAATCCTTTTTGTATAGAAATAGAGAGCCTGGTCCAGGGCCATGGAGGTTTATGGGTATGAATTCAGTTGTTCCCATCAACTCCCAAGTTCTCTCTGCTGCTCAGAATCTGTTTTTTTTTTTTTTGTGACCACTGCCTACCCTAACAAGTGTACCCCAACATTGACTTGGTGAGCTTTTCCCAATGACTGAGGGAAAAGGAACCCCATCAATGCTGTGCTGTGAGGTTGCGTTCTCTCCTTCCTGGAGATCTCAAGGTCTCAGCACTTGCTCCTCTTCTCACCTTTCCCTCCTCAGACACTTGTTTTGCCATCTATAAAATGGGCCGGTGACACTTGGTGAAGTTAGGGCTGTCCAGACCTAAAACCACACATGTGGCTTCCGCGCTGGCCACAGTAGCCCTCTCATGGCTGCAAACTGGTGAAAACCTATCTCTAACCACTCAGGGTCAGTTATGGTCAGGCACATAACATGGACCAGTGTGGTGTCATGTGACGGGCAAGCAAAGACGCCTGTGGTGTGTTGGGGGTTTCTAATCTGTGGCTGCCTGTCACTATAAGAGTCCCAGAACTCATCATTCTGAGCAGCTCTTGTCTAGGGGTTTGGTGAGTCCCTTGAAGGTGTTGAGGCCCCAGACATCCAGGGGTAAAGGGTCTTGGCTAATTCAAAAGATCCCATGGTTGTCAGTGTGGCTGGAGCTAAGTTTAGGGTGTGTATATGCACAGGTCTGAGAAGTCTAAGGTTCTTTGTTGTCATGGTCCAAACTGGTTGACGCCAAGTTCACGTGTGTGGTTTCATTTGGAGACAGGTCTTTCGGGGGTAGATAAGGTTAAATGTGGTCCTTGAGGAGGATCTGCAAACTCACTACGGTTGGGGTACACGTGCAGCAGAAGGGTCATACAAGCCAGGAAGAGAGACCTTCCCAGACAACAGTGCTATCCACCATGCACCATGCACTTCCAGCCCCTGCACCCTGCACACGATCTTCTGCTATGGCGGCTTAGCCATCCTGCTCCATAGCTCTCACCAGTGAGAGGGGACACTCTGATAACAGTTTCGGTTCCATTCTGTCAACATCGACCCCCTAGGACACCACAGCGCCAAGGCACAGCGACTCCAATTGTTACGCTCGGGTCCCTTGGCCATGCGCTTCATTGTCCCCAAGGAAGGCCAGTTCAAGAGCAGCGGAGCTGGCAGTAGATCACCTCTCCTCATTCCAATGCCCTGGAGGACCACTGCTCACAGCCTCTGTTAGCTAATGAGCTAAAAAATGAATTATTGGCACGGCTGCCATCAGCAGGGAGGAGGGGCCAGCTCCTCATCAGGTCTTGGTGCTGACACACCTTTAAATAAATCAACTGCGGGGGGGGGGTAGTAATATGTCAGAAGAGAGACACCGACCCCATCCCTAAAAACACAGAGAACAGACGTTTTCAGGAGATATAGGGAGTGGCCCTCTGCCTCCTCCTGGTGTTTAAGCCACAGGCCATCACTGACCAGACACAGTCTCGGGTTTAGAGAATGGGTAGGGCTGGGTGGCAGAGCTAGAAGCCCTGCAGTTGTCTCAGTGTCTACTGGGCTCAGCCAAGGATGCTCTGATGCTATAGATTGAAGGATGACCTTAAGGAGTGGTGACCTAGCTGAGTGCCCAGGTGCCCCCACAGAAACAGCTGCCTAGCGTCCTGGCTAGTTTGATGACCACTTGACAAGCTAGAGCCCTCGGAGTGGGAGCCTCATGAGAACACGCCTCCATAGGCGGGGCTGTGGTAGGTAAGCCTGTGGGGTGCTGTTTTAACCAGCGATTGATATGGAGTGGGAAGGGGCTAAGCAAATGTGGGTGAAGCCACCCCTGGGCTAGTGGTTCTGGGTTCTACAAGAAAGCAGCTGAGCAAGCCATGGGAAGCAAGCACTGCCCCATGGCACCTGCGTCAGCTCCTGCCTCCGGGTTCCAGCTCTGTTTGAATCCTTGCCATAGCTTCCTTCAGTGAAGGAGTACATGTGGGAGTTTAAATCAAACACGGCTCCCCCTCAAGCTGCTTGCTTTGGTCCTGGTGTTGTGTCACAGCAGTCGCAGCCCTAACTAAGACACCTGGGTCAGTCAGACCGGCAGTTGGGAACATGGAATGCCAAGGGATTCCCCAAACTGAGAAAGTGGTGAGTGGGGGGCGCGGGAGGGAATAAGACTGACTTCACAAGCCGGATGGTGGTGGCACACACCGTTAATCCCAGCACTCGAGAGGCAGAGGCAGGAGGCAGGAGGCAGGAGGCAGGAGGCAGGAGGCAGGAGGCAGGAGGCAGGAGGCAGAGGCAGGAGGCAGAGGCAGAGGCAGGTGAATCTCTGTGAGTCTACAAGAACTAGTTTCAGGACAGGTTCCAAAGCTACAGAGAAATCCTGTCTCGAAAAATCAAGACTGACTTCATGGACCACAGCCTTCTGTGAATAGAAGGCAGAGAAAGGTCACATAGATGCAGGACCACTGATCCTGTGGCACCAGACTTGAGGTGAAATCCATCAGATTTCAGCATGGGGACTGAGACAGACAGCAGCATCACTGCCATGTAGGAGGGAAAATGTGAAGTTAGAGTGTG